GCGACGTTTTGTTTTGCTACAATCAGTTCTATTTGTGTTCAATACTTTCTTTTGGAGGATATCAATGGTAGTCCCTCTAAACAATTAATGTTTCATATGATGCTTATTTAGTGGATAGGGATGATTTAAGTATCTTTATTGCCTAGCAAAATATTGGAGAATTTTCAAAGAAGTGAGGGTTGATGATAATAATGTTAGTTATGAAATTGATGTTGATTTTCAGGAGGAGGCTCTACGTGTTGAAGGCGAAATGACCAAAATTCAACACCACGAGGTGAAGAGAGAGAAGGAGTCGGGGGAGAAGATTCTTAGAGAGACGGTGGAGAAAGTAAAGGCAGTCAAAGATAATGAAAGGGAAGAGGCTGTAGCCAAGGCTAGGCAAGAAGAGGTCACCAAGGCGAGGCTGGCAGCTGAGGAAATCTCTAGGTAAGTTATTAATAAGATGGATACGGTTTTATTTAAATCCCCACTGCACTACTTGCGCCCTCTATACAGCAGGCGTGTAGTCAGGGGGGGGGGGGCCCTAAAATGAAATCCTGGCTACGCGCTTGCTATATATACAGCCAACAATGCCTAAGTGGTACGTACCCATTGACCCCCATGATGCCCTTTTTCTTATGTTAACTGAGAGCTGATTTGATGAGATAACCACCACCTGTCAGTGACCTTACAGGGAGGTCTAATCCCTCCATGCCAAACTAGTGCAGAGGGGCTTAAACGGTACTGTGTATATCTTCCACAGATTCCATCCTGAGTTACACTATCAAATAGGGTATTATAATAAAGGCATCAGGCTGCCAGGTTTTTATCAAGAAAAAAAAAAAAAACAAAAATTAACAGCTTCCTATTCAAATAGGAATGTGGAAAAGTACATATATATGGTTCCAGAAAATTTTAATTTGTGTGATTAATGTAGCAAAGAAAAATGTTAGACTGATCCATTGGTAAACAGGTGCGTTTTAGGTCAGGTTTGCAAAATGATAGGTCTTTTGTGCTCTGCTGCGTGTTAGATTGGTTTGACCTGGATTATGAATATGACCTGAAAGTTGAACTCTGTTTATTGAATCAGAAATGGAATTATGCATCATTCAAATAATTTGGAGCCCCATTTTAGTTAAATTTGATGACTAAGACTCGCATTCAATTATGAAGACAACAAAAAAGTTTACTCAATGAGCATTTTATTTAGAGTAGTTTCTCTTCACCCATGTGCAGGAACCCTGTTCCTAGTAAGCTTTATTATGTCTCATAATGATTATGCTGACATTAGTTAAAGGAGCTTAAATTAGGGTGATTACTTCCACTTTCAAAAGTGTACATAAATATTAATTTGTATGCTCTATACAACACTACCGGTAAATATTTTTTTCTTGTTTTAAAATTCAGAAAGTTTTATGATAATTCAATTTATTTTATTTTGTAACAGGGAGACGGCAGAAAGGGAGGCTGCAACCGTCAAGAGGTTAGCGGAGGAGAAGGCACACACCCTCAAGGTACTCAAAGAGGACAAAACCCAAGAGCGCATCAGCGCCGTGCTCAGCGCCCAGCAGGAGGAGCGTCGCATCGCCGCGGCCGAGCTCGCAAAGGTCCGGGAGGCCCACGCCAAGGAGATTCAGGCGCTGCGCGAAGAGATCCAACTATGGCAGGTGAAGGTGGATGAGACAAGGACGGAGGTGGTGAGGGAGGAGGAGGAGAAGGAGAGATGGGTCCAGAAGCACGAGGAGCTCAAGGAGTCATATCAGGTGTTCATCAACAAGACCAGAGGATTCAGACCCGGACAGGCAGAGTTCTTACTCAAATAACCACCACGTTGGTATGATTGTCTAAAATGATTGTCAAGATTGTTTTGATTCAAGAAAGAACTGAAAGCTTGAGGTGCGAAAAGAGGACCAGAATGTCTGAGAGTTGGCCCTTTCAGAGGAAAAAGAGTCCTTTGAATTTTGCATGCTTATATAATTATTCCTCAAGTAAAACTTAAAAGCTTCAATATGGCAAATTGAAGAAGTATACCGGCTGATCTGAGATTGAATCAAGAGTGAGATGTGCAAAGAGGGTACATAGGATCTAGGTATGAATCACCTATAGTCATTCCTGAATGTCACTGATTCTCAGTTGAAGGATTTCATTTTGCCATTTTCTTTGATAATTGAACCATTAGACACCAATAGGATTATATATGCAGGGTTCCACACTAACTTTTTGTTTGCATAGGGTCTCAAATGAAATTTGCAGGGTCATGTACACACGAACCCCTATTTTCACAGGCACCTATAAGTGTAAAAAACTGGCTTAAATCATGTGCACTTGAAGTCATTAGAAGAACCCTCGCATGTTTTGCCTGGTGAAACAAATATTCTAGATCTTTCCATATTCAAAATCAGGATTATAACAATTGAAGTTACTCTCAGGTCTAAGTTTTCTTTTGTTAAACATGATCTCATGATTTACTGAATTAGTAGAATTTGAACTAACTCGGAGAATTACCGAAGATGTGACATGTTGCGAGACAACATACTGTAACTTTTGCTGCTTTACTGTTCAGCACCTGACAATATATGCACAGTCATTTTGAAAGGATTTTCTAGTAGACCAAAAGTTCACAAGACTAAAGAGCATTTAGCTAGTAAATGATATCTGAGACTGAAAGTAAAACAAAACAGTAAAATACCCAATTTCTATTAGGCCTGTTTTCATCAGCTTGAGTTTGCCAAATAACCCGCTTTTTTCAGACTTGGGACATTATCCTGAAGCTCAAAATTGCCTTGTCACCAGACTGATACGCTCATCACAAACTAGCTCGAACAGGCGCAAATTTGCCCACTATTTCCCAAATAATGGGATATTATGGAAACAAGACCAAGATTTCTCAGGATGTTTTCTTGACCAAATATCCCGCTAATTGCAACTGCGGGCTGATGAAGGCGCAAATTAACTGGCTAATTTGCAATCAGGATAGTTAAAATAGCGGGTTATTTGGCAAACTCGAGCCGAGGCAGGCCTTTTGTGACTGCATCGTTGTCAGAAGGCTCATAAAACCATGCATTTGGATTTGTGGATATGGAATTTCTCCATGCTGATTACTGCAGGAATGAAATACCTGTATCTGTTGTGTTCTCAGAATCAGATGTGTTGTACAAGATGCATGGGGCTGGGGATATCATTTTAGAAGATCTGTACTTGTTGAAATTTCTATATCTCTTTTGGGGTTTACCATTTTGTCCTTTAATTGCTGCCTCCTGCGACTGACACTCTTAAATTAACCCATCCCTTGATACATTGTAGTTTCATGCAATATTAAGCACTTTTCACCAGCTTCACATTGTTTATGTAATAATTTGTATGAACTGCACACTGTACATTGTATGATAACAGGAAGTAATCAAATGTTATTGTTATTGCAAACAGTCTGATCAGAATATTTACTATGAATTGTATCACATCCGTCCAAAATTCTAATGTTCAATGTAGCTAGACTGATGCAATATCAAAGATATGTTGTGAGACGCAAGAACAAGAGGTTTGAGTAGGGTAATTTAATTGTCCTGTAGTTAATGTTGTGATAGCTACACAACTTGCCAGTGAAATATTCATCCCATGCATAATTGCCATAGTTTTTCATTTATTTAGAGGATATTACCTGTATAGTAATAAGATGAACTAACATCATTCATAAAACTAGCGATTATCAATATTAATTCATGTTAGCTTATAATCCATGAATTTGTGGTCGATCATGAGACGTGCATCCGAGCATTGGTTTGTATCATTTTTTTCGCTTAAAGGATATATTTCTAATTACAGTCACAAAGAAATTGTTGATTTTGGACAAGCATAGCAAACTGCAGAAGTGCAAAGCAGTGGTTGTTTTGAAATGTGTCGTTTCATGGTTGGAAAATGCCCTTGTGTATGATAAATATAGGGCATGTTCAATTCGTAAAAAAAGACACCCCATCGCTTACAACTTGTTTTGACAAATCGTTTGTATGGTATTTTGGAAATTGTTTTAGTGAGTTTTTTCTACTAAACTGTAATATCTCTTGCTACTAAGAGAATTTGTGAAGGGTGTATTCCTTCCTTTTAATTATTTAAAGAACATTTGGGTACTTTTTTTGTGTGTCACTTGCTGTAAGGGGCATCAAGAATGGATGTTTAACTGTTTGATCATTCTGTGTGCATTCATGTATCTATTTTTTTACAACAGTTGAAATTTCCTTGTGTGACTTATATACATTGTTTGATGAATGAACTGGCAAATTTCCACCTTTTTTGTATTTTGCCTTATATTTTTATCGTAAGAATGATCACATGTCATGTGTGGTACAGAGTCAAGGGAACAAATCTTGCTGCATTTCATGAACAATTTTGTACAAATTTGAGAGTTTTATGAGTTTGTATTTTCAACAGTCATGTGCACTTATATATCTATATCAGTATTGTACTTTTTACTTAAAATAATTATTAAAAAAACAAATAAATATCACATTTTATACTTTACATTGAAGACTACCATTCTGTTTTTTAATTCTGAAAAAACAGGAATGTTTGAGACCTGAATAATCTTTGTGAGAAGAGAGAGACAGAGAGAGAGAGAGAGAGAGAGAGAGAGAGAGAGAGAGGGGGAGAGAGAGAGAGGGAGGAGAGAGCGAGGGAGAATAAAGGGGGAGGGTGGATAGAGAGAGAGAGAGAGAGAGAGAGAGAGAGAGAGAGAGCAATACATGTAGAGAGAAGGGGAGGCCGGGAGGGGGAGCGATACATAATAGAAAAGGGGAAGGGGAGAGAGAGAGAGAGAGAGAGAAAGAGAGAGAACATGTAGAGAGAACAGGGTGGGAGAAGAGAACTACCACAAAGTCCACAAGCAGTGGACAATATTTGGATGATGAAAGTTCAAAAATGTAAGAAGTGTTGAGTGTATAGAGTAAATACAAAGAAAACAAAATGAAAAGAAATTGTCAGACAATGTTTTTTCATGTGAAATAAATGTACTATTGAAAAGAAAAATCTTTGATTCATGGAATTTTATTAAATTTTAATATGTTTATAAACATAATTGCTCTGAAAAAGATCACACACTATTATTTAAATCACTTTGAGTTTACATTCTCCAAAATTCTGAATAATTATAAATTTCTGTATCAAAGGAGCCCTGTTCACTGCATGTTACATGTATTTGCAAAACTACATCTGTGAACTGAAAATATGGACTTCTAAATAAGAAGAGTCAAACAAATCTTCAAATTTTAGAAAATATGCATTACCGGTATTTACTAATTGACATAAATGATGATCATCAAAGTACTGATTTTGCATGAAAGACAGTTATTACTATTTTAATTCCTGAATTATTCAAAGTAATCAGGAACTACACAAAATATACAACTCACTAACATTTGCAGTACCGGTAATTTTTAAGTCATGATAATTAGAAATACTGCTTTCAATCAACTGACCACATATTCTTTCAATTTAAGCTAAACTAACATATTGAAATACTCTATCAGCACAAGACTATAGTATTGGTCTTTGGTGTACCGGGGATAGAGCCTGGGAAAGTTGCCATGGTACTAAATATAAATCTACATTTTAATTCAATTTCTTGTTTGGGCAAAGTTATTCCTGAGAATACCAGAATTGGATGCTTTCTTTATCCTTAAGCAGGAATATATGAGATAATCTTTTGAGTTCTTCTGCAATGATGGAAAATAATTTTTTAGAGAATCAAATCAAACTACATTTAACTCAGAATACCTGTATGTAAAATATGTTGCGATTGCAAAAAGATACTTCGACTTATAATGTTATAATTAGGAAATGTAAAAAAACATGTGATTTGCATAGTTTGATTTGAACTAGGGAAATTTGATTTGTGCGACTTTGAGTTTATATGCATAGTTAAGTAACATTACATGTTCAAGACTACAATGAAATTACCTGTGCACATAGAAATTGGTAGAAATGCACCATGAGTGAAAAACAGAAGGAAATCAAGGGAGCAGTCCAAAATAACATCCTTGCAACATTGATACCTATACGGTATGTGAAAATGGTAATCGTGGTTTTCAATATTGATTTCTAGTATTTGTAAGTTAACTTGATTTTTGTTAGATATTTGCTGGTTCATGAATACAACCAATATACAGCAAGAGAAATAATCCAGGATCATATTTAATTGTTATCTCTCAAAAAGTGATTAACATGGCCGCTCACGATTAGCTTTGATTCTTTGAAGTTAGTATATGGACATCCATCTGTGCCAGTCAGTTCAAGGTTTCTCTGGTCTCTTGAAGGTCATTCCAGTAAGTTGAAGATTGGGTTAGATGGTGGACAACCACTGACCACATGCTCAGTGAAGGACATGGCTAAAAAGATAAATGAGACAAAACAACAAATTATGATCTAAAGGTGGACACTAGAAAACAGTGAAGGAATATACAGGGTACAAAACACATGGGTGGAGTATATATACTCTGGTACAAAACATCATCTCTTTAATCTCGAAAAGGGATACTGGTATGTTGTTAAAATTTAAAACTTATCCTTGGTAACATTCACAGACAAACATGGGGATGAAAAATAACTCTAAAACTGACCAAATACTGTTTGATGAAAGCCAGAAGGGTGTTAACTCATACACTTTGACACAGGAGTGTTGTGGTCGAGTGGTTTAAGGTGTTTGACTGGAGATGCGAAGGTCGAGGGTTCGAATCCCGACACCGCACTAATATCCTTTGGCAAGATATTAACCTGCATTTGCTACTCTCCACCCATGTGTTAAATGGGTACCTGTTAGGATGCCACCGTCATTGTTGGTCAAACAGTTTTTGAGCGTCAAGTAACGCCTAGCTGGAATGCTCCTCAGGGAGTGGAGATTGTGCACACAGTGTGTGCAGGCAAGAATTGAATCCAATGACTGGAATAATAGTGTAATAGTATATCTGTAAAGCGCTTAGAGATATTTGTATTAAGCGCTATATAAAAGCGGAATATTATTAACCCTCTCATGGCAGAGGATATGATGGGGTTTTTAAAAAATTGTAAAACGATAACTTACACAAATTCTTTGTTAATCCGATCAGGTTCTTATAGTTCTGCCCAGCATCACAGTAAGCACCAGCTATCTGCGAGACAGAGAACGCCTTCACAAGGCAGGATGAATCCGTTGTAGAGAAGGTAAAGTTTAGAGTGTCATTGTAATGATGCTCTTTGGTGTGGTGCCAGCCCTAGGAAAAAATACAAACGATGAACTTAAATAACAAATCTGTGACAAACAGTGAAAATAGATGTTTCCTGTTAGATTCATAGAAGTGCTAGAGAAAAAGGATGATGGTACAGCATCATAATCATTGGTACGTTCTTTGCATCTTCTATTACCAAACTTTATGATGAACAATCAAAGAGTATATTTGAAAAGCAATACTATTTGGTAATATGTTCTATGTATATAGAATTGTTGGCCTTCCAAGAGTGGATTTATATTGGAGGAGCAGAATTTTCTATCTACTGCTGTTTTAAAGTAAACTATCAAAACTTTACAGAGGCTATTTTGTTGTCTTAGGATGTCTCCAAAAAAAAAAATATATATAAATATATATTTTTTTAATCATAATTTTTTTAATCATAATTTTGAAAGCTGATTACCACATGCCATAGTGTTAATGGGCATTTAAACCTCAGCAAATATTCTGTCCTTGGTTTCTAAATCCTCCATGATGGGTAAAAAGGCCCCATCTTATAACATTTCTGACTGAATCCAACTGATAGCGTCTTGCTATCAACTACAAAGCGGCTCTGTAAGTTTTTGATTGATTTGAGGACTTGCAATCATTTTGATCAATCAATTTTGTTTTAGAGGGCAAAGCCTAGGATACGAAGCATACAAGATACCTGGAGAATGAAGTCTGCCGCGACCTTGTACTTCCTGAGGTCATCCGAACCTATGAATGTGTAGCGGCTATCATCACCACCTGAAAGACAAAAGAGAATCCTCTTCTTATACATTCAAGCCTATAATAACAATGACTTCTATTAGAGGTAACCGGGTGGTCACGGGTTAGAAACCTAGTCAATGCGCTTGTGCCCTTTGGTAAGGAATTAGTCCTCATTATCAAGTCCATCGGTACCCTGGTTGTTTACTTTAATACAAGCATGAAGCATATATATGTTGTCTTAGCAGTCAGGTAAAACAATCATCATCAAAATATCATTATAAAGAACAAGTAAGTTCAATAATATAAAATAGATCAGTCCTATTCTTTTCCTTGACACAAGCCCTGGCAGCAATCGCTCCCTGGTCAATTTCGTACACTGATCAGATTCTCAACTTTGGGTCTTTATCCCTAACCTTAAACCTAATCTAACACCGAATTGCAACCCTAACCTTAAACCTAGGTGTATATATTTGATGAAATAAAGCCTGAAACAAACGTATATAATCTTCTATAATATAATCTTCATATTGAATAATAAAATAGTATGACTAAAACATCTTCTACCTCTTTTCAGTCCATCAACATAGGCATTGAACACCTTTTCACTGGGAGCAGCTGCCAAGAAAACATACAAGCAAATAATATAATGTTTAGTGAATACTCTTGAGACTACATGTCTCACAAAACTGTCATCATTGGGTCATTCAAGTATGTGCCATAAAACTTTCAGGGCAGGAGTTTTAAAAGTGTGGAATTGATAATGTGGTAACAAACAATCAAATATGTACATTTATTTTATTGCTACATTGTTCTAATAAAATGTAATATATCTGAAAACAATGTTCCTGGGCAAGGAATTTGTCAAAGAGTTGAAGAAAAAAAAGTGGAATTATTGTAAAGGGTTCCATGTCATTCAAAATTTTCAGCACACTTATCTGTCTGATTGTTTTTTGAGCTGTGAAGAGAATATAATTTGTAGTTTTATACTTGACACAAATACCACTTCAGGATTGGAGTTTCAACAATCTGACTGGTAAGGTATACTTATAGGATAAAACTTGAGAAATTTACTTGATATATGCAAACATCCCAATTATAGAAAAGTTGACAAGTAACACCAATGAACATTAACAATACAAAAGTACAGCCCTAGCCAACCTCTAACAATGATACATAATGAGAGACTATAACAATATAAGAAAATGAAGGGAAGAAAACATCTGCAGAAGCATAATATTGTTAAATTAATCTTACTATCACAAAATAAATTAAATTGTCTTCATTGATAACATATTTGACTTACTGAAAAGGAGCTCTAGTGTGCAGCATGCATTTCCTGAAGAAGAAATAAAAAGATAATATTCAAGTAAACATGCTGAAAAAAAACTATGGAAATAAATGAATTCATGAAATAATAATAAACCTTTAAACCTACACAAAATATATAATTTCTCAACTTTTGTGGATTTATTATAATTTCTATATGAAGTCAATGCTGAAACAAACAAATAAATAAATTTAAATATCATTATCATCAATAGACTACCGTATTCAATATTTCATTAAAGTATAATATGAAATAAGCTATTTAGCCAGAAAAAAAGTTTTAGGGTGACTTGAATTAGGGTGAATTAGGGGGGGGGGGGGGCAATGGATCCATACCACAAGTGCCGCAGTCTGGTCTATCACAATCCGGAGGTTGACAGGATAGGACTAAACCAAGTCCACAAACCAACGTAATTAGGACCAGGCACTTCTTTGACGAGAACATCTCTTTACTCTTTTGATTACAGCATATGCCAAATGTCAGTTTAAACTGTATGGAGAGAAATAAACAGTCATACAAACAGTCATACAGACATCAGCTCATATTTCATGTCTTTACTAAATTCAAGTCTTTCAGGAAAGAAAAAAACTAGATGAAGACTCTCGACCTATGATAATCAGCAAACTGAAATGAATTTTTCAATTTATACATAATCACGATGTCAAAGTTTGAAAGTTTGGACAACATTAACTTCATTTTCTTGATCTTTAAAGTTTAATGTAAAAACAAGCCTTAAATAATAACCACTGCCATTGGCAGTTTACTTTGCTGAAACACATCAGTCAGTCTATAGACCGAAAGCTTCAATCTCTGATATCGACGGTTGTTCCGCTGAGATTGCGTCTGGCTCGAATGTCAACAAATGTAAGTTTTATTAAAGAAATGACCCATATGGCCATATCAGACGGTTATTTCCGTCTACAGTCAGTCATGCAGTGCAGTAATTCACCGTTGTAAATTACTTGTAATTCATGATAAATTTGTTGTATGGAACTATAATTAAAATCTGCACCGTATGACCAGGGGCGAGGGAAAGACAATCGCAAAACTTTGGCCAGTGTTTTTCCCTCTTGCAAAAACTTTCACCCAACTGATGAAATGATCCTTATGATCGTATCATACTCATAGGCCTAGATCTAAGTTAGATTTAGGCCTAGAGAATCTAGATCTCAAAAAATAAGATTGAAAAGTAAATTCTTGTTTTAGAAATTAAAGTAACTGAGGCTTAACTTAAATTTAAAGGAGATATCCAGTTGCTTACCAAGTTAACATCACAGGCACATGGATCAGGTACAAATTTGAGGTCTTGTGATAAGAATGTAAACAATGGCGACCAAGGTGCAGAAAAAGTTAGTCTCTTTAGGCCAGTACACATGCAATAGTAATGCAGTATGTAGCATAGGCATGCATAGCAGCCTACATAATTATCAAACGCACACAGCTGATGCACGAGCGCGCCGTGTAACGAATCTTGGGCGCAAACTAGCTGCATAATCCGCCGATGTCACAGTTGCCAATCTACATCACGTCATGAACGACAACGATTACATGGGTCTATTGCGTAGAAATACATGTTATTGCAAAGGAAACTGGGAACTTGTCAGGGAAAAGAGGTACGTGTCAAAATAAAAGGGGCACGTATCAGAGGTGGAAAGGGAAGGGGACACTTTGAAAAAATAATAGGGGCACTTATCAAAGTAACAGGGGCACTTTTATGTAAAAAGGGGCGCTTCTTACAAAGTTAAAGGGGCACTTTTCCTTTATGAAAAGGGGCACTTTTTGGGTACTTGAAAAAGTGGGGGGGGGGGGGGGGGGCACTGTGCCCCCCTGCCGCCTCTGAGAGTTGATATATTTTATGGACATGATGAGAGTTAGTTTTATTGGTCATAAGTATTTAAACAAACTACTTTCCTTCTTCCATTAACTTAATATATATAATATACATATCATACAATTTGTATAAATAATTAATAATCAACGAATTATATGCAGTTTGCCCTCATAATTTTTTTTAAAATAGCAGATACGGGGGAGGGGGCAAAGGGTGGGGCCCGCATACTTCAAAATGTTCCTCCCCCTAATAATCGTGCTACCACCTCCCCACCTGGAGAAATTTTAATAAACCTTTTACATGTTTGTTTTCTTCCTAATTTGATCCACCACTCCAAAACGATGAATAATTTTAAGTCCAGTTTCAGTAAATTCTCCAAATTGGCCATGCTAATGATTTCCTCGGTGCGGCGATTCGCCAAACTGAGTTAGTTTCTTCAGTCTCATTGAATAATGGCGTTTGGTCGGTAACTGCAAACTGGAATTGTAACGTGGATTGCTCGCCAATTTACCACATAAAATGTGCTCTGTTTCATTTTGAATTGGAACATTTTCTTACATGGCTGAACGGCAAGGGATTCCGAAGTGCTTCGTCGTTCGGCATGAAGGCAACGATGCAAATGAACACTTGTCTACGATGATGTGGGTTCGCCGACGTCAACTTGCATTGCCACTGCTGAAATCAACGGGATCTCAAGGTGACCAGAAGGGGCGAGTAACCCGACCGTCTACCTCGGCGACAGGGTCCGAGTTGGGATGCGTAAAACTGTGTGGGAATGCGAATAGAAGAATACAAGATCAGATCCAAAGTAGACTTTACTACCATCTCACTCCGGTCAATATTTCATCAGAATCATCAGATGGATGTGGTGCCGTATTCAATTTAGAATTTTCTCCAATTGGGTAGGAAAACAGTGTTTTTGTTGTTGTCATTTGTTTTGTTTTGACTTTTGTCTTGTGAGTTTTCAATTTCAATGAATCTACCTAGGGCCTAATTAATTTGTTTTGATGATTTTTCACCATCTATTATTACTATTAAACTCATACATCCATGCACTTCTGACATATCTGACATCGTCTTATGCCTACTTATGATTTGTTTGAATTAAGTGTAACATTGTCTAAATCTTACTCTCTTCATTCTTTGCCATTATTTAATTGGAGATTTGTTGCTTTGTCATGTTTGAGACTGTTTGTCTTTGTTTTAGCACAACTTTATTATCTTTGAAAAAGTTTGAATGCTTCATGCTTTAATAGGTAAAAATGTTGAGATTCTCAAGCTCCATGTTTTCCCCACATTGCTGGTTTGCAGGAACATTGATCTTCAAATGGACGCTTACCATGTGCTTACTGAGCTGAGTGTGCAACTGTGCATGAATAGCAACAGAAAAATCATGAATTATGCACAATATTAACTATTAAGGCAAGGAATGCACATTCTTCCATAGTTGTTACACTTACAGCACTCACTGAAACACTAGAAAAACTAGAAACATGTATGGTACATCATCTAATATGATGTAAACCCATTTTGTGCATCTGCATGTTGTAAAATGGTACCCTAGACTAAGGCAAAGCTTACGAGACAAATCCAGAATGACAATTCATTTCACTAAATTTTACCTCTGACTCTAATGGAAGAGTATGAAGGTAATGAAGAAAAATTACAAATAAAAGAAGTGCAGGAGTGAGGAGGAGATGGCGGAGTAGAAGGAGGAGGAGGAGGAGGAGGAAACAGAGGAGGAGGAGATGGGGAAGGAGGAGGAGGGGGAGGAGGAAGAGGAGGAGAAAATGGAGGAGGAAAATTATATATAAAAGAAGTGCAGGAGTGAGGAGGAGGAGGAGGAGGAGGAGGGGGAGGAGGAGGAGAGAGAGAGAAGAGAGAGAGAGAGAGAGAGAGAGAGAGAGAGAGGGGAGGGGGACAAGGAGATGGAGGAGGAAGAGGAGGAAGAGGAGATGGAGGAGATTGAAAATGCAATGTTGGCCTTACAAAGCTGTCCTTTCATGAGCATGTACACTATAATCAGCATAACTTCTTACAAGATTTTGTAGTTAAACTTGCTCAAAAATATAATTGAAACTGTACAAACCTACAATAAAACACCTGTAATGATACTGTAGGTTATAATGAGTTGATTGAAAAAGTAAGCTTTTTTTCACTCCTACTCCTAGAGTAACAGTTATAAAGTCGGTAATATTAATGCGGCAATGTTTATTCATTCCTTCCCTAAAACAGTGACACGTTGGTGACAGCATATGAGGGAGAGGCAATGCAGTTATTTGACCCTATATCTGCCAAGCTTATCACCAAGATTCCTAATGCACACACAGATTGTGTCAACTGTATCAGGTGAGTGCTTTGCAGAAGCTATATGTACTTTGAACTTGAAGCTTGCTTGCAAATCTCTACAATTTGATTTTATGATATTCATGTATAGTACATGTACATGGAGTCTAAATCTCACCCATTTTCCCATTAGATTTTACAAGTTCATACATGTACTTGTAAAAACTAATCTTTGATAGCATTTTTGAAAATATACAAATTATACACCTGAATTTCCTTGCTCAAAATATGTGTTCACTGTTTGGTAAGCATTGCAACAGTAAAAACTATTCTAAATTAAAATTGAGATGATGTTCAGTACTTTGGACTAAAAGTACAGGTGTTATTGGCCTGGTATGTATAAAGTCATTGAATTATAGTTTGTAATAACATTTATACCACGACATTAACCATTATGCTGATGGAAATTTTGATAGATTTTGAGCATGTTAAGTTAACCACATTGCAAGTTCAAGCATGAACCTACATGTATTAACTAAGGAGTCTAAGGACATTGTATATTCTATTGCATTTTTATCAGTTGGTCAATTGAATTTACCAGTTTCCTGCAATTCATTACACAGAACATCTATGACCCTTCTTTTCTTTCCTCTTTACATTTCCCTTCAAAGGTTTCTAGACAGCCGTACCTTTGCATCCGGGTCAGATGACAAGACCATTGCATTGTGGGATATACGTAACCTGAAGCGTAAGATCTGCACATTGAAAGGTCACAGTAACTGGGTTAAGAGCATCGAGTATTGTCAGAACTCAGGTCTCCTCATCACATCGGCCTTCGATGGCAATGTACTGGCCTGGGATATCAACAAGTAAGTCCGAACACTCTAGTGATACATTCTTAGGCATTTGAAATGAAAAGTGCATATCACTGATAGGTTACCCTGTATGAATAAGACTAAGGGTGGTATTCTCGAAAGCGGACTAACTTTAGTCCATGGTTTAATCCACCCACAGATATTGTTATAATAATTTTAAACATCTCCCGACAGGGTGAGTTGGTCTTGAAAAGGGTCTACTAATGCTCTATCTCAAACTAAAGAATATGTGGTGAATTTAAAGATAAGCTTGAGTTCTGGTAATGCGATTGCATTGTGAAAGAAAAGGTGTGGAATGGATCAGAAAAGTTGATCATATAGCATGTAAGTAATGGTGTGTAATGCAAGGTTCTGGAGTCATCAAAATCATCATAAATTTGGTAAAGTCTTGGTAAAGTAACAATCACTTACACAGAAATATGTATATGGGACAACACACATGGTGTCGGGGCTAGTACTACCCGGATTTCCTTATCTTTCTATGCTCATTACTCAGCCAGTATACATTTTCTTCCAAAATTGTTTGGCACATGACATTTATTTGTAATCTTGAACATTCAGTGTAAGTTTTGTTAGATTCTGTGAGAATTCATTTTCGTTTTTTACCAGAACTCAAGTTTATCTTTAAACCGTGCTCAAATCTATCTTCACCATTGAAGTTTCAAAGATTAAGATAAAAATCTCATGGTTAGATTAAACAAAAATACATAGATGAATAAATATTCATGTACATATATTTGATGTACAGTATAATGTTCCAACTTTCTCAAGTAAGAAAAATATGGAATTTCCCAAGATTACTGGATGAGATAGGAAATTTGTAAGATTTGGTCCTCACACATTTTCAGTATAACCGAACATGAGCCTTTGTGAGTTTGTGATCAAAAGCATAATTTTTGGCTATACCATTACAACATTGTCACTTCTCTAGTGTACCTTTAAACTGTTTTTGTGTGTTTTCAAATTCAAACAGTACCTGAATTGGTCAAACTAGATTAAAGCAAGGAATCTTATACAATTTTTATTTTGATGTAATAATGAAAACTAAATGTTCACACTTCTAAATTCAAGATTCTGATGTATACATTTTAGATGATTTCTTGAAATTAAAAACTGATCTGAGGTTATTTACATTCAGGTCAGGCTAATTGTCCCAAAATGTAAGCTGTTCAAATATTTGTTTCATGTATGTGTAATACACTTCAAAAGAGCCATTTCACAGTTGCAGTCTGAGCATGAGCAGATAAAGGTAATTGCAGACCAAATTGAGAAATACACAGAGACAAAATACTGGATGCGTGCTCATGAAAGTTATGTAATCATTCATTTATGCGTAAGCAGTGCACTCCATGATTCATGTACACAGGTGGAAGTATTCTTTGAAAAGGGGAAACAAGGGCTATTTATGTACAGTATCTCCATCATTGTAGAAATGATTATATCAAAATGTACAAAGTGGGACCTCTTCATGTTTTGAAGGTCTGTAGATATTCAAGGTCATTTGTGATATGTGCTAACCTTGAACTGGTCTATTAACTTACTCTGCCCTTCTTCTTGTGAACATCTTTCTACACACACACACACACATACATACAGATATCAGGAAGAGATGCAATGCACCAAACTCTTTCACCTTGAGAGTCTGATGCGGACACGCCTCACTCCGGACTCCTCCAAGCTCATCATGTCAACATCCGAAGGCTACTACCTGGTCATCCACGACCTTGACCTCACCTCCTTAGCGACGGACTTTGACGAGTTTGACCCCACAGAGTATTTTGAACTTTTGTTTAAAGAAGCCAAAGAGGACTTGAAGGAACATGAGGATAACCACTTGTTCCATCGGTCAAGGAATCGGCCGGAGATTGTGATGGACTTCCCCGAAGAGGGATTTGCGGAGTGTATATCGTCTCTGGTGGTTCATCCTCAAGGCTGGTGTATGGTGTCCCGGTATACCACCACAGAGGAAGACCAAGAGGTAAGCTTGCTCTTTTAAAAGAGAATCAGGGGGATATATCACAAAGACTAAGATCGACTTTAAGTTGGAGTTAACTGAGGCAGGCCATTCATGCCACTGCTTGCTCTCAGCCTCTCACCATTTACTGGCATTGGTCTCTCAAGGGACGTACAAATAATGGTCACAAATCTACAGAATTTATGTTTTTTAATAATTTATTTAAAAAAAATATCATCTAAAGATCATAATGGTGAGAACAAACAGTGGCATAAAGGGCCTGCCATAGTTGAGTCCCATTTAAATTCGATCTTAGTCTTTGTGAAACACTCCCCAGATCCATTTTTACTGCAGATTATATATGCAGGAACCAGGGCTTAATTTACATTTATAGGGACTTATATATTTGCGTGGACTGATACGTGTGACGTCCATTCAAGGCAGTGCATTAAAAGGACGTCGATCGTAGCAATCCACGATGTCGTTGTGCAAATCTAAAAGTCCCTTATAAGTTCTCCAAGACATGGGTGCCTAGAATCTTGTATTGACTTCCCAAATATTGACATTTAACCATACTGTAGGGCTCATGCATGGAGGCCCTTAAAATGTGAGTCTGCACCTCCAACAAAGAAGAAAAATATGTGTGGAGCTGTGTACATGTATGTTCATAAACATCATGACCAAAGACAGCTTTGATTTCAGTGTTGAATTTAGGTGTAAAGGGACAGTTTGATTTCAAGATGACATTCATGAAAAGTCATATTTGATTATATTCTGATATGTGACCTGACACTAGTTGTGAAGTGATCATGTGATTAGATGTGATGTGGTATAGTAGTAACTTGTAAATATTCGTAGATTGCTTTCAGCAGAGCAATGGCTGTATTGCATACAGCTACATCTCAAGACCACTTTCAATTGGGGGGGGGGGGGGGGGGGGGGGGTTGTTCCAAATAATGTGAAAAGTAAGCTGACATTTTTCCAAGCAAGAATGAAATATCCTAAGGTTGTCAAATTTGCTGCACAAATTGTGAATTGATGGCACTCCAGTGGGATATAGAAATTCAATATTTTCAGACAGAAAATTCTTAATTAGGAAACCCTGCACTCAAAAATCTACCCTACTCCTTGGTACAGTTAGGTCATGATGGTGCAAAATGGAATTTGGATTGTGGTCAGGTTTTCATAGAAACTGATTCCTTGTTTTCACAATAATTCAATGCATATTTTTCGTTAAGAGAGATTTGTAGGTTGGATGAATACATCATTTTCAAGCAAAAACTAATTGCCTACTACCAGCAGAATAATCAGGGTCATTTAGTCGACATTCTTGTCAGTGACGAGAGGAGGGGGTAGGGAAGTGGTTTTGATGGAGGTCATCCGAAATATAAATTTGACTATTCGGTATGAAATAACACTGCTTTTCTGTGCTTTCATGATACCAAATATTGACATCAGATTGTATACTAAGTACTAACCTGCCTTTTTGCTTTGTTCCAGTGGACCTGCGTGCATGACTTACAAGAGAGTTCCAGCCCCAGAGACGAACCCAAGCAGGACCCAGCCCAGCATCGATCCTCCCCTTTCAAACCAAAGGAGAGACTCCTCTATTACGCCGTCGAGCCCAACGACGGCAAAGGCTACATCAAAGAACTCAGCATCAGCCCCGACGGGCGCATCATCTGCTCGTCCTTCAGCCACGGCGTAAGACTACTTGCCTTTGATACTCAATGCAGTGAACTCTGCGATATACAGTACGCCAGCCCTCCGGCTGGCCCCCAAGGACTCAAACAAGTCAAGCTTTTATCATGTCATCGAGCGACGGTCCTCACGTCCCGTTTCTCACCGACGCAATGCTTACTCGTCAGCGGATGTTTGGAAGGAAAGGTCGTGTTTCACCACCCATATTTATAACACCTGGCCATTCTTTCCAGGACTTCACGTTGTTTCTTGGAAGAGAGGAGAAATTCAGATGCAATTTTGTTTAATTTGGTACCCCTGGATTTTTTGTGCTGCTCACATGGATAGAAAGTGTTTATAAGTTGGACCTTCTTCGATGCCCAATTTTTTTCTTGGTGATTTATCTGACAAATAGATGATAGATCAGAATAGAAGTTGTTCCATTTATTGCAATTATACTTACCTGCCTAGATACTATGATATACTCCATATTACTTCATATTTTGATGTCCTAATCAAGCCAAAAAGGTGTAAACTAATATTCCTTGATACAGAGTTAACACCCTTCTGGCACTCAGCAGACTACATATATGCTATGGTGCTGCTTGCAAAATACATGGAACCATGTAGAATACACGTTCCATCTTATTGGAATCTCACCCGACTGCCTGAATGCTATGAATGATAAACATAATAATAATAATAGCTAGTTCTTATATAGCGCTTTTCCGGACTGAAGGCCCTATCGAAGCGCTTTACAGATATGTATTATTACCCCGATTCAGGCTTACCCGCACACAATGTATGCACATTCTCCACTCCCTGGGGAGCATTCCAGCCAGGCATCATTTTTACAAGCGCACACTTGCTAATCTAAGCACATTAGCTTCGCATCCTACCAGGTACCCATTTAACACCTGGGTGGAGAGTAGCAAATGTAGATCAATGTCTTGCCAAAGGACATTAGTGCCGCGGTGGGACTTGAACCGCGGACCTTGTGATCCACAGTCTGGTGACATAACCACTCGTCCACGACACCTCTACATGGATTCAATGATATAGTAGAACATGTCATTTCTTTCGCCTCAACACACTAGGACAATGTCACTTTCATGATTAACTCTATAGTTCAGTCCAACTTTTTAAAAAAATTAAAAAAACAAGAGCAAAAAATATGAAGTGATGAAAGTCCTTAAAGGTAAAGACCAGTTATGGTCATGCGATTGCATTGTGAAAGAAACGTTGTGGAATCGATCAGAAAAGGTTTATCATCTAGCATATAAGTATTGGTGTGTACTGCAAGGTTCTGGAATCATCAAAATGATAAGAAATATGGCCCAGTCTTCGTAAAGTTACAAGCACTGTACACAGAAAGATGTATATGGGACTATACACACACGTGCGCAACACGTGCGTTTATCTCTCAAAGACCATGTAGATAAACTAATTTACCACATATATCAATTAGTAGGTGGTTTCCCGGCAAAATTTTTATCATCATGTATTAGTCAAAACATATTCTTTCACATGATTGGTAATAAGAGCTTTCATTTCATTTTTTGAAATTGGGGCATTTCCAATACTGGTCTTTACCTTTAAAGATAACCTCTAAAAAAAAAAAAATGGATTCTCACAGAATCAAACGATACTTACACTGAATGTTCAAGATTACAAATAAATGTCATGTGCCAAACAATTTTGGAAGAAAATGTATACTGGCTGAGTAATGAGCATAGAAAGATAAGAAAAAAAGGTAGTACTAGCCCTACACAATTTTGTGTAGTCCCACATACATCTTTCTGTGTACAGGGCTTGTTACTTTACCAAGACTGGGCCCAATTTATTAGGATTTTGATGACTCCAGAACCTTGCAGTGCACACCAATACTTACATGCTTCATGATCAACTTTTCTGATCCATTCCACACCTTTTCTTTCACAATGCAATCGCATTACCAGAACTCACTTTTATTTTTAACCCTATGGATACACTTTAATTATGATTGAGGATTTCTAGTTATTTAGGGCGGTCCTTTAATAGGATTGTATATTTATAAGTATTTATGTACTTATCTTCAATGTTTTGCAGGATAGTTATTAAACCTGAATAAACACTGCTACTAAATTCAAGTACTACTGTAACTTCCATTTTGGGTAAATAATGTTTTAAAAAAAAAAACATATAGACATAAAAGGAAAGGCTTTGAATTCTTTTCCCTTAAATATAGTATTTACCTATTTGTTTTTTTCAGGACTAGAAAATATAATTCAATAAAAATGATGTCTTGTCCATGGTAGCCTCATCAGTATTAATACTGTTCTCCCTGATGGCCCTGCAATCATATTTTTACCCCGGCTTTAGCATGGCTACAGTGATAAGGCGCACAAGCATTCAAGGAATGCCTTTCCTACTGAGTACCCATTTCAGAGCTGCCAACCATTCCGTTTTTGCCGGAATTACTCCGTTTTTTCCTCCAAATTCCGGCATTACGTTTTTTCGTCATAAAATACATTTTTTAATGATTTTTCTTTTTTTTTCTTTTTTTACATACCGCACGTCAAACAACTGCCCTTAAATGGTGATTTGATCGCAAATTCAATAGAAAACTAATTTTGAAACATACTTGAAGAGAAAAATATTCTCAAAAGAAATGAAATGCTGATAATACGAAAATAACCACCAAAAAAATTACCTGCTTGTATGGAAAAAACAGCATGATGAATGAACATTTCTGCATTGAAAGTGTGTCGCGCGTGGTTGTAAGTTTCTTTTTATGAATTCCTTTTTTTGGCTTGAAATTCCTTTTTTTTTTGTGATTCGCAGTCCAGCAACGTATTCACTAGACCAGGGGGGTGTTTCACAAAGATCCTATGTTGAACTTATCTCTAAGTTGGACTTAACACTTATGGAAAGCCATTAGCATCTACATATATGAAAATATTTGTAAAAGTTATTTTTGAAAGGCATAAAATGTTGATTCAAATCACTCATATTTTATATTATCAAGGAGATTTCATGTTCTTGTGGACTTTATAAAAAGTCTAAAATACTTGATTTTTCGCTTTTGAATATATTTTATTTTAAGGCTACAAATGGCTCTCCATAATTTTTAGTTAAGTTTGACTTTAAGGATCTTTGTGAATTACCCCCAGGACACCTATTTTCAGCAAACAATTTTTCATTTTTAGGTATCAAAAGGGGGATGTAATATCCTGCACTAAATGAATATCTTACATTCTGCTTCTCTCCAAGGTGCAAGTTTGTTTTCTAGTTGTTTGTCTCTCTTTACTTTAAAGTGAAACATGAATGTACTAAAGTGAATCCAATGCTGTCATGTTTACCTTCATTTCAAACCAAATAATCATGTGCAATGATGCTAATGTATATCACATACCTGTAGCAAGTGGCTTTTTTGTGTGTAGGAGGCAACTATGATCATCAAATCACTTTTCTTTTAGGGGAATGTGAAGATAATTGTGTACGATTCCATTTGCCTATTTTACGAAGTGTGATCTTGAACAGGTTAATTTTGATTAACGATAATTACAGCATAAGGCGGATCATTATTTTGGATAATGTCGGATTTTCTCGTCATCATTCATGTTTTTGATCATGAGTGTAATTGATGAGCAATTGAGGGCTACTTCTTTTCATTTAAAAACATCTGGAATCTTGGAAACAACAGAAATATAGGTACATCCTGAATCAAATATGCTCTATTTTAGTTTTGAAGACTGTACTGGAGCTTACATTTCCCATGATATCATCTCTACAGAGCCAGAAAGGTGTGATCTATCTGTTTGAATATATGAGTTAAAGCCCATCTAGCTCTTTACAGATGAATTGGTTGATGAAATGTGAGGTAATGATGAGATAACAAGGGGCTTAGAATAGGGGCATATAATTTTTTCTTCAAAGTGTACCTACATGTATTAACAACTAATAGTTTGTAATACTGTATTCAAAATATGAGCTTCAAATACTGTCTGTAAAGACATTTTGCGAGTTAAAATGCACTCCCAATTAACATAAAAGCGACTCGTTAGTAACGCACCCTTAGGCGCTTGCTTAAAATAGGGCCTTCAACAGAACCCAAGTCCGACCTGGGTTCTGTGTGCATTGTTTTATGTTATTCTTGATTTTCTTTATACTCCTTATCATTATAGAAAGCCTGGTAAACTTTATTGAGGTTGCATTTATCCATTCTACATGTACATGTAGCTGTACACGATTAATTTTTCTGTCTGTTTCTGTCCTTATACACTTCTATTTTTATTTTTGTCCGACATGCCCCCATCCATCATTAAGATTAATGATCTTTGAATAGTGATATTATTTGCTGATTTCTTGATGATGATTTTCCAGTCATTTTGTGGCATCGAAAAGCATCAGAGTCTAATGTAAGGATATATACATACCGGTATCCCTTCTAAGGTTGTACATGTACATGTATAATCCGATTAAAAAAAAACTCAAGCAGAGCTGAAATACTGGTAAACGTTTCACATATTTGAGTCCTCTCTGTACCCAGAATGTGCATTTATAAGATAACTTTACAATGATTCGCATACAACAAATTGTACATGTGCATGTATTGTAACTAGATGTTCATGTCATTTCAATTTCATTTATTTCCACAGATTCATAAAAGACAATATAAATTTCAATCAAATATAAAAGCATTGAAACAAAAGATGATCAAAAACCACAGAGGTTTATCGGGGATCATCCCCTGCTTAAAATTACAATCTGCTTAAAATTACAATATCAAAATACAATTTAAAAAAAAATAAAATAAAATAATGAACACATACATAAACATATATAAATTTTACAAGCAAATCTATGTGTGGTAATATGAAGTAAGTTACTAAATGCAGGGCTTGAATTTAAACAGAGGTTTCTGCATTTGTCAAGAAACCATCATAGATTCAAGTGTGTCGACATGCTGTTAAAAAGCGTGTTCATTTTAAATACACAAGTTTCATTGGAATGTTGGACATGTTTCATTGTGGTTATGAGTTACTAACTTCTACTTGTGAGCAAAGCGTTGCCCTGGTGCACAGGCACCCACAAATGTTCAATGTCTGGACCCCAGTAAGAGATTATTGAGTACCAAGTATTGACCTCTTCTTTTCCATTATATTACTGAAATATTGTAACAAAATGGATGAACTCATAAAATAAGATGTTAAGTATTTCCAAGGTCAATTTAACGAATTTTGGGGCTGTAAATTTAATCAGTCAGAGCATATATATATATATGGGTAACATATCTGGGATACCACTTGGTACTCTCTAGAGTCTATACAAAGGTGGAATTACTTGACCCAATTTATATCTTAGTTCTTACCATGTCATAAATTCCACCATAGAAAATAATTTTCATAGGAGATTTTCAGTTCTGGTAATAATGAATAAAATACATGACTTATGACTTGATTATACATGTAGGAAGTTATCGGAGCAATTTCATTGTTCAATTTGAAAATCCCTCTGATTTTATACAGTGGTAGTGCTGAAGGTACATTGTATTATTCAAAGCCATACTGTATTTGAAGCACTACTGCAAAACCCCTCTAGCGCCACCTCAGGTCAGATGTAACATACTATGGTCCCGTAACTCGCTGCTTCTGTAGCTGTGCTGTTGGGTTTTTGCATAGAGTCGGTCAACTGTTTGCGAAGTGGAAATAATGTACTGGGTTACGCACTGTTGGCAAGTTGACCATGAGATGGCACTGTGCAATAAACGGTACG